AACCGATGTGCCCTGCTGTTTCAATTACAAATGTATAGTTTCTAAGCTGTTTCATATTATCAGCCCCTTCTTAAGTTCAAATCCTGTTACCAGACTCTTTCTGAAGCAAACACTGTGGTGACTTGCACCAAAAAGAAAGGTGTGTCTGTGTTAGGAAGGTGAAAATAAATTAATCTGCTGGGAAAAGTATTACAGGTATAGTTTCCCTCTTCCCCTCATTCTCTGTCTCTGCAGCTTATGCTCTTTTTCTTGCTGCACTCTCCAGTTTTGGAGTTACTTGTACGCAGGTACCATTGCAGTTAAATAAATAATGTCAGTGCTTTGAGAGGGAATTTTCTGCTTGTGGGGGGAAAACTTTGGATCCTTCTAATGTCTGTAACCAGTGTTTCTGCTGTTGAGTAGCAGTTTTCAACTGCCTGCAAGCAACTTCTGCAAGATATTAAAAGGGTCTATGGACCTTATGATTTGGCACATGAATTCCCTGTAGTCCTCTTGACCCCTGACCTCAACTACTGCATCCAAAAAGTCTACATGTTGCTTTTAGTGGTGGCAGTGTTTAACATCATTTTATTGACTGCAAAAGAATCCATCTTCAGTGGTAAAAAGTAGATCACAAATGCTTCGATAATGATTTGTGTATGATTTGATGTTCATGTCCAGTTGTAGATTCTGTTTGTTAGATGACTGGATCATATGGCTGTTGCAGCTGTTGTGTTTTCCTTTCCTTCTGAACCACCAAAGGTGATGGGAGAAACTCCTCCACTATACCAAGGAAATATCATTGAAGTTTCATTAAATGTTTTAGTGAAATACTCAGGGACATGGTTACTGCCCTGGGAAAACTGGTCTTCCAGTTCTATTTCCCAGGAAACTGATGATTAAACAAAAGTATCTGAGGTGGTCAGGTGCCAGTGCTCACCTGACAGAGAAAACAGGAAGATTTAAGAATAAATATTTTTTGTCTTTGAGAGATGAATAGTGGAGTTTCAGGGGAGCATAGTAGATCATCCATAATCTACTAGAAGAGATTTTAGTTGTAGGAGGAGGACTTGGGATGTATTTCACAACTCTGAACTGAAGCCTAGAATGTTACAGGGGTAAGAAAAACAAACTGTGAAATGCATAAATGTATTGGATATTTTTTTTCTCAGATCTGTGACATCTTTGGGCTAGGTAAAGAGTTTAAAAAAAAATCCTAGTAAATCATAGAATGTTAGGGTTTGGGACCTCTAGAGATCATCTAGTCCAACTCCCCTGCCAGAGCAGAATGACCTAGAACAGGTCACGCAGGAACACATCCAGGTGGGTCTTGAAAGTCTCCAGAGAAGGAGACTCCACAACCTCTCTGGGCAGCTGGGTGCTCTGTCACCCTCTCAGTAAATAAGTTTCTCCTCATGTTGAGGTGGAACTTCCTCTCTTCTAACTTACATGCATTGTTTCTTGTCCTATTACTGGGCACCACTGAAAAGAGATTGGCCCCTTCCTCTTGACACCCACACCTCAAATATTTGTAGATATTAATAAAATCCCCTCTCAGCCTTCTCTTCTCGAGACTAAACAGCCCCAGGTCTCCCAGCCTTTCTTCATAGGACGGATGTTCAAGTCCCTTAATCATCCTCATAGTCCTCAGTTGGACTCTTTCCAGAATATTCTTATCCCCCTTGAACTGGGGAGCCCAGAACAGGATACAGTATTCCAGGTGTGGTCTCACCAGGGCAGAGTAGAGGGGGGAGAGAACCTCCCTCAACCTGCTGGATACACTCTTCGTAATCCTCCTTATCCCAGGACTGGCTACCTTGGCCAGAAGGGCAGGTTGCTGTCTCATGGATAACTCACTGCCCGCTGTGTTTTGATTTTGTTTTGCCTGTAGCATACACGCCTGAAGAGAGGAGCTGCAAATCTGTAATGCTTCCAAAACAAGGACTCTTGGAGAGGATGTGCTTAGGCTGCTTGATAGCCTCAAGTTCATTGCTGGCCCTGAGACAGAAGGTGTAATCCAGCTACACCAGAGCCTATTTGCACTTTCAGGAGGTGTGAAAGGCTATCTAATCTGGCATGTTAGGAGTAGGAATTAATTCAGGGAGACATCTTGGGCCAAATGGTTACAAAGCAGGGCTTTTCCAGATACTTGTGCCTTAAAGAGTGCTTCGGGTGAGCCTTTGCTGTTCAAGAAAATAGTAATACATTCTGCATAGTGGTCTAAAGCAGAGAGTAGCAAAAATCTACTTGGCAGAAGTGAGCTCCTTCAGGAGAATGGTGCTGCCAGTTGCAGGAAGGGAGGTTTTGTTCCCAGAGTTACATGGCTTTGCTAAGCCTAACCTACCCTTGTTCCAGGATGACCAAGCATAAGAGATGCCTCGGGTGACATTGCTCATTTATAAAATTCCCTTCTGTTGGATCGAATTTAACATGGTCTCCTGTTTTGAATTATTTCTTTGATTAGCTGCAAAGTTTTGATGTCTGCAGGAGGAGAAAAATTGCATCAGTGTGCACTGTCAGCTGGGACTTGTAGCTGCTGAGAAGTTGCTAGGATACCTCTCTAAAAGGTACGATTCACTTGATTAACCACCAGCCCAGTTTGCATGAGAAATATTTTTCCTATCTTTGTTTTGTGCTGGCATCAGATGTGCATGTGTGTCTAGAGCAAGCCACATGTTGATTGTCATGGTTGTCTTTTCCCTGCTTTTGATGTGCAAAAAACCTCTGTGCTCCATAGCAAAGAACTAGAGCAATAATAGTAGCAATTCCAGTAAT